TGATGGCTTATCAGCTTATTACAGTTAAGGACTATGCTGTGTTGAGCCTGGATTTATTCCGGTAATGATCACTCCGCATGTAGTTTTCCCCTGGCTTGCTCTTCAGGTCTTCTCAACTGTAAATCTAGTTTATTCTGTAAAGCCTTCCCCTATTTTCAAAATCATCTAGCACAACTGCCAAAAAACTTCACTATGCTCTTCCAGAGTCTTCCTATTTATATTTTTAGCCTGGTACAGAATTCACCAGATGCCTTTATAGAAAAACTGCCCACGTGCTTGAGGCTACCTCCCTCAAAGCTATGTTGATTTATACATTCTCCAGAAATAGGCTTCTCCAGATTTAAAGACTAACTTCTTAAACTCCTGACACAACCTGGATTAGCAAATGCCGCCAGTGTATAGCATCCTTAAAAAGTCAGCTTATCTCTTTGAAGTACCAACATTTCCTGAGTAGTTATTACTTCAATAGATCTCTGTTGTTTTCAGTTTGTTGGTGTCTAAAGTTTACAATACACACACACACACACACACACACACATACAAATACTATATACATAATAAAAATTGTATTTCTTGCTTTATCTCATGGATAATCTATAAAGATTTCTGTAGCCCACTCAAATATTCTTTTTTGTTTTATTTATTGTTGAAAATGAATTTTGCTTCTTTGCTTTTGTTTTCCTTCTCCTAGTAAGAAATAAATTAAGGAAGTTGGATTCTTTGGAGATGATAAATCCTTTTGGACATGTTGAATTTAAGGTGACAATGGAATTGACATGACACCATCAGGAAGTTGGAGATGTGAGACTTTAGCTTAGCAACAAGGTCAGGACTGAAGATATAAATCTGGTAGACATATGTGTAAAGATGATAGTTTAAATTATGACAATAGATGGTATTTTCAAGTGAAAGAATATAGACATAATAAGGTTTAAGGACCCCATTCCTTACTTTAGGAGTATCACAAAGAAGTAAAAAAGTAAGACAAAGAAAAAAGAATTGATGGAATAAGAATATAATCAGTTTAATTCAATGAATTATCAAGAAAAACACACTATCTGGGGGATAGGCACGATATAAAAGCAATTTATGTAACTGAATCATTTGCACTCCTGTAATATTCTGAAATAAATTTTTTTTCAAAAAAGGGAAGAGAGGTTGTGACTGACCAAATTATAATAAGTTGGTTCATTTCTAGATGTGGGAAAGAATTATATTATATTTAATTTTTAATAACAAATAGAACATTTTATACTATATTGTAAAGCAAAATCTTTTACGATTGGTAAATACATTTTTTTCTAATTAGTTTAGTAATAGTTAATTGAAATCTTCTCAGACTATGTACATTTTATAGTGAGAAAATAAAAGTAAAAAAGGAATCCAATATAATGACCTCTTGATACTTGTTAAATTTAGCCCTAAATCAATTATCATAGGTATTCTGTGTTAAATAGTAATTGTACAAGTATTTTTACTTCCTAAAGAACAGTATTAATTCAAGTATTAAATTATCCTGTAGTTTTTCCTGCATGCTCTATTAGTTTATTGTTTTATTTATAAAGATAGGTACATCACTCAATAATGGTATTCTAAAAATTAAAAAAGTATAAACTAAGATCTCAAAATAGTCATATGAAGAAAAGTGTTAGAATATGATTTCAGCCTAAGTAATTTATAATCTTATAACATGAAATAAAATATAGGTTTTTGCAGATAACCAGAAGACCACTAGACTTTTGCTTACATACAAGTATTCAAAAATTATTTCTTAAATTTTGTCCTCTCAAATGATGAACCAAATAGATTAATTCCCATACTGTGTTTTCCTTCAAACTACTATGCACTTTCAAGTTAAAAATTACTATAGAACAAATAGCCTATCTCTCCTTTGTTTAAAATATCTCAACTCAGTTGATGGCTGGATTAGTTATCTTATCTCTCTATTTGGTATATAATAAAGAGAATCACAACTGCCAAGGATAATACAACACAATAATAAGACTATTTATGAAGAAGTCTCAAAACTATTAATCCAATAGCCCAAATCACATTTAATGTTCAAAGGCAATTGTTAACAAAGTTAGTAGATACTTCAGGTTACAGATTAATTTTATCTCCATTTCCTGAATAAGACATCTATTAAAATATCAACCCCGGATGTTAGATACTATAGGGTGCTTTGGGATATTTAGTTGCAACACTAATAGTTAAACCATTAATGTAAATAGTATAGAAATAACTATTATACTATATATATATATATATATATATTTATTATTTGCTGTCATAGTATGCACTATTTTATATTACATCCCCCTTATTTTGTTAATTTAAGTGAGATAAAATTTCTTAAAAGCAGTTTTTCTGGTTGATTAGATGTATTTTTCCTTAAATATTTATAGGCATTATAATTAAAATGTTAATTGAAATTTTAATAGTAATTTTGGATTTTCACAGAATTTTCAATGAATAAAATGTATTACCTATACAACTATGTGTACAAAGAAAACAACATCAAACAGTTTAGTCCTGTATATCATAATATTATAATTAAGTCATTTCATTACTGAATGTGTATACTGGGTGGCTTAATGACTCTAATCTCTGTTTCACTCATAAGCATATGGCAGATAGGTTATTAGAAAAAGCAAAAAAGACAACACACAGTTCCAAACTCTAGGAAGCTAACTAAAGTTTGCCTTCATGTTTTACCACTTTTAATCACTTCTTGCCAATATTCATTATAAAGCAATTACCTAGCTACAAAACACTTTATGGAAATGAACATACCTCTTTCACATATATAAAGCCCACAAGATTTCTTCCTTGTTTCTATTTCCCATATTTCTTCCTCAGCTTCAAATTAACTGACCTATTTATATGGTGGACACACTCAAATTATTTCATTTTTTTGGTGGATTGAAGAAAACAATGGTTTATATTCTATAATCTAAGTATTAGCAGAAGTTTCAGGAGTCCCATGTTTAAGTTTTCATCTGTAGATTTTTCAGTCACTGTTACTTCTTTCTGGTACTCTATTACTTGAAGAATGTGAGGCAGTTGCAATGACTAAAGAATTAAATGGTATAAATATACCTCTCTCAAACCCTGTGAGCAAGAAAAGAGGCAAAAACCCAGTACAGACAGCTATATAACTTTGCCCTTTATGGATTTCCTTTAGATTATTTGCTAAAAGGAAATTATTAAATTTTCATGTGCTCTGCAGAGCCTAGTCTTGGTTTATAAGATGAGAAGAAAAGAAAATATTATTAACTGCTTCATTGCCAAGAGATAGTCATTATCTGTGTACATTGAAAGAATTCTTAGTGCCCTTGCTGTGGTTTTAATGCTCATATCTGAGGTCATGAGATCACGAGCTTTATTCTCTGATTGTCATGTGGAGCAGTGAGCACAATTACAGAACATTTTTACAGCCAGGTTTGCTCAAATCTCTGTCTCTCTCTCTCTTTTTTAATATTAAACAAATTCTCTGATCTACTGGATCATTTTACTCAGCCAATATGCCTAAACACCTGCCTTACAATTTTTAAGGTGATTATTTAAAATTGCAAATATCATTAAAAGTCATTCTAGTGTGGAATTTCTTTGAAGAAAGTGGATTATAGAGTAGCAGAGATGTATAAATTGGGTAAAAAATTCAAGTTTTTGGAAAAGCGCATCTGCTTTTCTCACACAGAGGCGAATAGGAGTTTTAAACAGCAATCCTGCCTGTGTCCCTCCTAGAGCTATTGAACAATGTCTTTTCATTGGTTACAGCATCTTCCAGAAAGGCCTGCTTGCTACCAAGAGTGTGGGGGACCATGCTCTGCAAGATACACAGAAATACCACCCACCAGGGCTGGTTTTGCAAGCCATGGTGAGGACTTGTCCAAAATCTGTTCTTAAATCATACATTCTGGAAGCCTTGGTTCTCTCTCATAGTGTAATGTCACCCTCTTATTTTATCCTCCATCTTCTGTTATTTAACTAAAACAAATTGAAATGATTTCTACTTGAAATAAAGCCACATGTCACAGATAATAATAAAGGAATATCACAAAACATGATCACAGTGCTTTGTATTACCACTCTCCCTTCCCTCTTCCCCCAACATACAGAAAGGCAAAGGTCGTTCCCAGAGAAATTTTTAGCATGTGAGCATCTCTGGGTTTTAAAAATGTCAGTGTCTTGGCAGGTGCTTTCAGCTGTAATAAGAGGTAAGTAAAAGATTTTACAATCTCTGCCTTTTAAAGTTAATATGAGGAAGCATATACAAGTTTGTAACACTCTCAATAGTCAAGATTTACTACTACCCTTGAATGAATTACTTCATTTGACTTATTTGCTGTTAATTGCATTCTAATAGGAGAAGGATGGTGTCTTTAGAGATCTAAAGGCTACACTATTTCAATAGTAAAGACATTCATGTTAAAAATATAATAAACATACACACACAAAGAACTGAAAAATGAAAAAAAAGCAAGTCTCTGAAATCTTTCCTACTCTGTTTTAGAATAAAATGCTTATTTTATTCATTTTGTAATAAACTGTATATCTCTGGCAACAATTTTGTTCACCTAAAACTCACCAATTGTTTGAATTATGATATTACTAATTGGGTTCAATCAGGAAAATGTTTAGCAGAGCAATAGGCAAACTGAATGATTTCAAAAATCTTCAAGATTTTTTCTTTGAAAAAATTCCTATTCTGCATCAGAAATCTCTCATTGGTCAATGCACTTTTAAGAGTGCACTGTGTGGTCACTATAATAATCAATATTTCACACTAGTTTTGCTTAAACAAATAAGCACATTTTTGTGATACACCAAACATGTCTTTGATGATAGAAGTGCAGAGATATAAATCAACATACATTTCAATTTACCTTTGTGTGAGGTGCATGTAAGATACAAGAACAGGGTAAGATTCCACCTGTCTTAGAAAGAGACTTGTTAACATATTACTGATGACTCAGGCAAATCAGATGGTAAATTACCTTTGAGAGGTCCCCAGCCTCCAAATAGAAGCAGATAACAAACACATTCCACGTAACCCAGAGGACTAGCCAGACAGCATACTGTAGGCAAGCAAAAGAGAAACAACATATAATTAGTTTGCAATCAGCTGAGTACAATTCAAATAGAACTTGAACTTTGACACACCCAAATTATAAGATTAGTAGGGAATGTTAGATATTGCTTCTTTCTAAGGAGCAGGATTAGATGTACATTTATCTCACTGTTGATTTTTTCCCCACTGTTATGGACTTATAGCTCAAACTTCCTTAAGTATAATTTTTAGGTTTCAAGACAAGAGAAATGATAGTCCACATTTCTGTTTTAAGAGTGAATGATTGTTTTCTAGATATCTAAATAAATGTGCTAATATCTAGATGTGCTAATAATATGATATAATATAATATAATAATATAATATAATAATGTGCTAATAATTAGATGTGCTAATATACTTGTAAAATACAACCCATCCAAAGAAAACTAGTTTCCTTAAACAAAACCATCGCCATGTAGGATAATGTACAACCTTTCCCCAAGACATCTAGGACCATCTTCAAATCAGTCTTTATGCCTCTGTCCCATCTAATCAGCTTTCTCTCTTTAGTGTCTCCTTTTCATTTCTATGTTCACACCTCCTTATTTTATCCTCTCTCTATTGCTCATGACAGTGGCTATCTAGCTATTATCCCTAATTTTATTCTTTTATCTATTTAGTGTACCTTCTTCAATGATGACGGATTTTCTTGTCAAAATAGTTATGACCACTCAGCTAAAATTCATTAAACATTTAGAAGGCAACATTGCTGGAAAGACACCGAGATCACAGAAACCAGTGATAAATTCTCCCTAGATACAAGTTAAGTGAAGGTGATAAATTTAAAAAAAAGATAATTATTATATAGGAATCATAAAAAAGGTATATAGTCTGAGCACAAGGAAGGAAGAGGGGAGGAGAACATAACCTGCCCTGGATAAAAGATCCTGCAAAGCTTAACAGGAGAGGTGAAAGCCTTTCAGAAGATGTCATTCTAGCTGTCTCATGAGCGAGCTTAATGAAATCAAAGTGTAAAGGGTTGGAAGGGCTATGGCATGAGGCTACTATAAACAAAGGAAACAACAATTGTGGCTTTTTAAAAAGTTGCATAAGAGAATAATATATCATTTCCCATATAAACAGACACCAATGACACCCATCCTTTATATGGTGAGTTCCAAAATATTTATTTTATGATTCAAGAACCCCCATGATCTTGTTATCTTTTGAGCCACACGTTTCTGCTCATCTCTGGCATTATCCTGGATTCCAGACACATCCACTATTTCTGTTTCAGGTACATGGAAAGCTATTTCCCACTTCTGTGCTTTTGTATATTATTCCTTTATCCTGAATACTTTTGATTTCCCCTGGATACTCCTCTTACCATCTATTAGTTTTTTTTTTAATTTTTCTTCTAAGATTAATTTGAATATCACCTCCTGAGTGAATCTAATCAGAATTGATTAAGCTCTACTTAGTGCTACAATAAAGTTTGCTTGTCCTAATTTCATTCCAAATGTTTACACCTAATTATTTACATATGTTCTCCAATGCACAATGATAAGCTCCTTAAGAAAAGGAACTATTTTTTAAATTTTTTATTTTTGTTCCCAAGTTCTAAACTTATGGTATTTGTTTGCACACAACAGTTATTCAGACAATATTTTGTATATCAAGGAATGAAAAAGTAGTAATATAAAGAAAATCTTATTATTTTCAGAAGCAGAACCCATTCTTCCCACCCAGACTGGTTTTTATTAGATTACTATGATCATTCCTGTAGTGTGAGGAGTGAGAGTTCTACATGATGAGTTTATATAATAATAAGTGATGACTCAGCTGTTTTCCAAAGGTGATGGGTTCATTTAACTGCTGAGTATGTGCATTGCTCAGCAGAGTATAAAGTGAGGTCAAAACCAAATGGTCCAAACAAAAGAAGGGATTTGAGAGGCTCTATGAGGTGGGGGTAGGGACTGGAGACAGGATCAGGAAGCTGAGCAAGCTGTAGCAGGAAAGAAACATCGTTTATGTAATGGAGATCTAAAGAAGAATTTAAGTTTGTTTCAGTCACTTGATTTAAGTGATGATAAGACAGAAAGGAAGAATGACTGACTATAATGTTTTATCATGTCCTTTTTTCATAGTGACACATTTTCCCCACCTTATTTATAACAGAGAGCTACATAAACACTGTTCACTAAAAACCAAAATAGCAGGATTGTAAAACATTGGGGAAGGGCTGATGAAATACACTGTATTACATAATATCAAATATTTCTGAAAATTTGACATTGGCAAGCATGCTTTGTGAAATGGCATTAAGGAATGTCAATGCTGAAGCTTTTTTATTTCACAACTGAAATTCTATTTTAAGCTCAATAAAAGCTTAAAATGTTTATCTGTATCTATGTGGTATAGAGGGCATAGTCACTACTTCAATATTGTATACTGAATATATAATAAGAATTTAGAATCTTCATCCAGGTTTACAGTTACTTATGTGTATATATAAATATAAATTAAAGTTAGTTTGATTAAAAATATCAAACTGAATAATTTGTTTTAGTCACTGAAATAAATATTTGTATGGAAGGATAGGTAAGGTAATGCTTGTCTCACATATAAATAAATAGCATATGAAGATTAAGAACTGGGAACCTAATATCTTGCTCTGTCACTTAGGAGCTCTTTGGCTATATTCAAGTCATGTGGTCTACTACACTTCACTATCCTCAAATGTAAAATAGGCTTATTAATAGCAGCAAACTCACATGGCTTATATGAGAATGGAATGATAGAATGTTTGAAAGTACCCAATTCTTGAGTTCCCACTATATGTTGCCATTTTATTATAATGATTATGTTACATCATCATCTCTTCTTATTAAATAATATAGCAGTGATCCCAAAAGTTTTAGTCCTTAAGATATTAAAAATATATTTTCCACATGGACTTATATAAAACAATATTCTATGTAATTAAACTACAATCTACTTGTTTCCTCAATGCAATATATTCTTCCCTGGAATAAGGTGGGTTTTTTTTTTTTTGATATTTTAATGCCAACATTGATAGAAGGATGATATCTCATGAAATGAACATTTCTTCCTTTGGTTTCATTAAAACAATAGTTTATTATTTCTGATTCAGTGCAACACAATTAAAAAGGACTTTCTATATCTTGTTTTATGAGTTGCTTTTTTACAGTGTTAGTAACACTTTTGCACTTCTTTTTTAATCCTCCTATTTTTCCAAGATTGATCCAGAAGGATTTGTACAGAAAGAACATAGTAAATGTTCCTTTTATATCTTTGCATTTACTTGTGCTATTTTCACTTTATTGTATGCTTCATTACAAACCAGTTGGCCTCACAATGCATATACTTCATTATAAGTTTACAAAAGATTATTATCACTTGTGTTGGTATGCCTCCTTCAATAAACACAGAAACCCCTACTAGTGTGACAGAAGTTAGTCACTGCTTGTATATCACTATCCAAAGGCAGACATTTGTCTAATTTATCTAACTTTATCTCATTTTATTTTAATCATTAATTTTCTCATTTATCTTTATTATACCTCTTTTCTTCATCTCCTATTTTCTTTATTATTCCTTTTTATACTTTTTTTCTCATTTCAGTTGCTTGCACTTTTATAAATTAAATATCCTCCAATTTAATTTTGCCTAGCTGCCTAAATACTGATGAAGATTTTGCATTCCTTTGTAATTTGGCCTATGAGTTTTGTCAATAAACACTACTGTTCATGCTGTTTTTAAAATTACTCATCATAATTATTTAAGAATATAAAGATCTGTACTAACTTCTTTCCAGGCGCTACAGCTAGTTGATGTGATATAATTGACAATTGCTCAGTTTGAGTATAATTGAAAAGGATGTTCTGCCGGAGAGATAACCTAACAGGCTAACAAAGTATCACACTTGCTAGATATCACCTAACATATAGTTTTCTGATATAAAACTAACTTTGCTTTAGCCTCATTTCTTCTTGTGAAAAAAACATTATATTTTATGTTTTGGATAGACACATTAAGATATAATTTGTGATGAGAGATTCTATTGCATGATGAAATTCACTTTTTAAGAGTTGATTTCTGAAGCACTAGGAGAACCATTTAAAGATTGATTCAACCTGAGTCTCCAAATAAATGGTCAAAACTATCTACTAAAAAAGTAATTGAAACATCATGGCTTCCCTGTTGTATTTGTGGCTTCAATAATGAAATCAAATTAGGTATATAAGATAAAAATTAGTTAAGGTTGTTAATCATGTAATCATGATAGGCCAAAACATTGACTAGGCTCAGAAACATTGCGATATTATATGCCATGGTTATATAATATTTATAAAGATAGACTAAGGTAGTATAAGACTAAAAGGCTGATAAATTTTTTGTTAGAAAATAACAAATCACACCTTAATGACACTGCCAATGCTTTGATGCCTTCCTCTCTTACATTAAAACTGCCCAAGCTTAAAGTCCAAATTTTTAAAATTATATTTAACATACAAAATATTAATAAATTTTGGCACAGTTTGTCAGGTTTTCATGCACATACATATATATAACTTTTACATTTTTATTGGCATTACATTGATTTTATAAATTATTTTGAGGAAAACTGAACTTTATGCATTTCCAAAATAATCTCTTCTAGAAAAATTCCTGAAAGAGGAATTATTATTTAAGACAAATGAATTTTCATATCCTTTTTACTAATTGACAATGATTATACAATTTCAGGAAAAAAAAAAAGAGTTACCCTTATAACATTAAAGTGCAGAAGCAAGCATTACTTGAAAAGGAGATTTAAATTTATGGTTAGCCTAGCTTTCTAATTTCTTGTTTCTTTTTCCTTTGTGTCTAGGGAAAGAGGAACATGTTAGAATAACATATTAGCAGAGAATATTCAATTTTTTTCCCAAAGGAAATACTTGTTTTTTATTCAGGCATTTTTAATATTAGAAGACTTCTATTGTAAAATGTCATTAAGTGAACT